GACTTCTGTGGTCGGTGGCGCACCACCTTCTCCGACTTCGTGGTCGGTGCACCCTGGTCGGCCGTTTCCTTCGGTTGGTGGTCGTGACTCTTCGTCCTGTTTTCCAGGTCGGATGGCTGTGAGCTTATGTTGCTCAGCCATTGGTTAACTACCGACTTGGTCTTCCGGCTTGAGTTTACCTTCCGTTCTGGTTGCGGAGGGGCTGGTGACGACGGTCTGCCGTCAACCCAAGTCAGGTCAGCGATGGGTCTTCAGCGTCCGGATGACTCCATCAATATTATCGTTGCAAATTATGCAGCGATCAGGTCGGTCAATTTCGCCAATTTGCGTGTGCTCAGTTGGCTTCTTCAGGTCATTGACGAATTTGACTTCCTTCGGAAAAGTGTTCCGTAATTCGGCGGTAACGGGTCGGGGATCGTCCTTGTTATTGAGGTGTCCTCGCCGTACCGTTTCCAAAACGCAGTTGTAGTCGATTCTCCGTTCAACTGTACTTGTCGCATAACTGAAGAGTGCTCCGCCTAGTTCTTGGCAGGGTATCTCCAGAGGGCGGTACTGGAAGTCCATTCCATGTACTGCCGATGGATTGGGACTCGTTCGTCTTCCCATTCCCAAGCTTCATCGTCGATGTCTTCGGCGAGGGCCAATACAGGTCTGCATGTCCGTTGTGCTTCCTGTATCTGGTCCGTGGTCACCGCTCCGTTCTGTTGGAGAGTGGCCATCATCTCCAACGTCCGTCGGTCGAGAAAGTGTTGTATTCCCGTAAACCAAGTCCGGTACTTTTGTTGGATCTCTAAGATGGCATCCGCCCGTTGCGGATGCCTCTGGTATCGGATAGACTTTACTGCCGTCTTCAGTATGCGTTTCTTCGGACGTAGTTTTCCAGTTCGTATCCTTTCTTCGTACGCTTCATGGCGTTGTGCAGTTGCATCTCCTCGATCAGAGTCCGGTTGGTATCCCGCAGTCACGGCAAATGTTGGGCGGGGGGTTTGACGGGTGATCAAGCCGACTTATCTCGCTTCAGTTGTTACCGTGCCCGATGCCTCTGGTATCGGGATAGACTGCACTACCGTCATTCCTCCAGGTCGTTCCGGATTAGGAATGGGCGTTAGCACGAAGGTGAACTTGGAATGGAGGTAATCACATCCAAGTAACACTGGGATATCCGCGTTGTTCGGTTGAACGTGGAATGTATGATGGCTCGTAAATCCCTGTAGCGTTACCGGTACGGTGCAACAGTGAGTTACGGTGAAGGCAACTTGTCCGCCTACGCCAAGTATCCGAGTGTAATGGCCAAGAGGTTGCATTGGCAGGTCGTTTTGTTCGCAGAATCGTTGTTCGATCAGCGAAGTCTCTGCTCCTGTGTCGAGCATCGCCATGGTGGGCGTCGGTCCGATCTGGATTGCGTGTGTCCAGGCTCTGACCGTCTTCGGTTTCTTGTGAGTCCTTTTTCGAAGGTCACTTCCCGTACAGTCGGTGACGGGAATTAAGGAGACTGATCCGCCTTCTGTTGGCGTCAGCGTGCCTTGGATTTGGTTCCACTTCGGTTACGACCACTTCATGTGCCTGAGGTCGGTTAGCTATCGTCCTCCAGCACGTCGGTGGAGTTTCGAACCGTCGTTTGTTCTCGTATCCGTTCTTCTATCGAGGTTTCTGTTGGCCTCACTTGCGACCATATGTAGTCAAGGTTGACGAACGTCCGAGATCCGGCTACTGTTCTAGCCGGTTGAGGTTGTTGCTGAGGTCCGACCTGCTGCAGCCAGTGAGCGGGTGCCTGTGCTTCCAGAGGGACTGTTTCCCATATTTCGACTTCTCCTTCCGATTCTTCGGTGAGGTCGATAGCTGCCATTGTTGCAGCGTATCTATCCGTTGCGCGTCCGGATGATACATTGGGAAGTTTCTGTTGCCCCTTTGCGTGAATCGGCGTCCCGGTCCTCCGCGTCTTGGCCCTTGTCTGGGCTGCTCGGTTGGGTTTCTTCTCACCGGCAGTCCGGTCCAGCTTCCGTGGCCGGTCCGTCCTGCGTCACTTTCTGTGGCGGGCGGCGCAGTCACATTGTTCGTGCCGTAGGTCGGGCATTTCTTGCGTTCCGACCTCCGACGTTCCAATGCTGTTGAGGTATTGGGTCACGGTCCGGGCAATCCTGCGTTCCGGCCTCCGACGTTCCAACGCCGAGTTGATGCGCTGGGTCGGGTGAGTCGGGCATTCGTTGCGTTCCGGTCCGGATCTCGAATTTGCCATTGAAAAAAATTCCGAGTCGTTCTGCCATTGTTCTGGCCGTTGTGGCTTCATCTGTTGAAGCCATCAATGCGTTGACGAATTCTTCTTCCGTGCTGGTTATGGTCCAGACCTAGTTGTCTGACCAAGGCATCCATCCGTTGGATGACTTCCTTCTGTTGTGGGTATGGGCGATTCTCCGGTTAAAGTGAAGTTGGTTAGTAGGGTTATCCTTGTCCGGTGGTTCGGTGGGATGTCGCAGGTCGAATGAGTCACCGGGGCTCATCGACCTTAGGCGTTTCCCGAGGAGTTTCCCCGAGCCGGCCCATTGTTGGGTGACGGCGAGCCAGCGGCTGGATGTGGCGGTAGCATTTGCCGCTGTTCCGAGATCCCTGACCTCCACCGCTATTCCTGCGGTTTCCGCCCGACCCATTTCCTGAGCCGGCCTGCTGGTTTCCGTTACCAGCACCGCCCGAGCCTCCTTGTTGGCGGCGCGGGGTGGCACGATCTGTGCCGAATCGGGCTGGCCGAACCCAACGGTCCTCCCGTCAGGTATCGCGTATGCCAATCCTCATACCAGCGGCGATTCGGGTTGTCTTGCACCCGAGTGCCGATGAACGCGCAGCGTGCCTGGGTGGTTCCCGAACTTGCAGAAGTGGCAAGTAAAGCTGTCCGCCAGCGTCCACTGAAGGAACAGTTGTTCCATCTTATCCGCATAAGTCGTAAACTGCCGAGCACCTTGTTGTGCTTGGGAAGGTCGGTTACCCTGTTGGTTTCCGCCTCCGCCGCGGTTAAGTTACCGCGGCCGCGATTTCCGCCGCCACGTCCTTTTTCCGCGACTGTAGCCTCCGCCGCCGAATCCTTGTGTGGATTCTGGCCGTAACGGGTATCCTGGTTTGGGTTTGGTTATAGCCAGAATTTCCGTTATTCTGGTTACCTCCAGAGCCAGGACTTTGGCCTCCGTAGTTGTTTACTGGGGCTCCGGCTGCTGGTTGGGGTGCTGCCAAGTTGACAGCTGCCACTCCTGCCCAGGTCGGTTGCTGGACCGGCATCATTTGCGCTGGTGGCGTTATACGGTGTGGTCAGTTGCACGTATGTTGCCGATGGACTTTGAGTATCCCGGGCATCATGTATGGCTGGTACACTGTTTGTTCTGAGCGCCTGCGGTAAAGGAGCTGGTGTCGGCGTTGTTGCTCGGACCCGGGCATAGTCGGTATCCCGTGATCCCTTCGCCACGTCGTACATCTCCTTTCCGTTTACGAACTGGCGTATGTAGTCACGCAGTTCTACGGGGTTGCCGGCATACGAATCTCAAGGCTTCTCGTAGCTTGGGTTCGTGGAATGTTATCCTTCAGATGGAAAAGTGCCATCTGGTCCGTGATGGTGTCACATCGGGACTTGATGTTCATCATGGCGTCATAGTACTGTTCTGGCGTCTCTTGTCCAAAGCGGTACTTTCGTTTGGCCATGGCGGTTACGGCGTTAATTTCCTTGTTTTTGTCGCCGAACCGTTCTTCGAACTTAGCCAACCAAAGTTGACTGGCCATCCTCCGGCTGGTTCACTGCCGGCGGTGTCCCTATGCCATTGTGCGGCCTGGCCTTCGAGTCGTGAGATTAGGTCTGTCATGAACGTGTGATCCGATTCATGCCATTCTTGTGCTTCCGCGTAGAATCGACGGATTTGTTTCAACCATCCTCGAGTTTGTTATGGTCGCCGTCGTATTCCGGCAATTTCTGCGTCCGCGGTGGTGGCCGTTGTGGCTTGTTGGTAGAATCGGTGGAAGGTCGTTCACCCTTCCATACTGACTTCTGAACGGCAGCCTTCTCGGTGGTGCCCGACCTTCTGTTGGTCGGAACCGAGGCACGTTCTGCGAGTCTTGTGGGTAGTCGGCGGGAGGGCGTTCCGGATTCGGTTGTCCGCTTCGTCCTCCTTGAGGAAGGTCATTATTGTATGACCTAGCTCGTGTCCGCTGATAATCGGAGTCGCTTATCGTTAAGCGTCCGAAGTCATCCATGTTGGGGTGTGAGCCTGTTCGCTCTCCCAGTCGCCGTCCTGCGCCCCATTGGTTAGGCGCTGGTCCATTCAGATGGGACGTGGTGGGCGCTGGCGCATGCGTCGATGTGTGCGTCGCATACGTGGGTACTCGTGTAAGTACCTAACGTGGCCGTCGTCGTTGTCGGCACGTTTGACGTTGGCACATGTGGTGCTGCAGTCGATGTATTCCGTTCAGGTTCTGGACGGTGGGGCAGAGCTGTTGCTGCGGGGAGTTCCGATGAGCGGGTTGGTTGTCACCACGCCCACGAAGAAGTTCTGTTCCTTCTTCTCCTCTTTGGGTTTAATGTCCCACAGGATATCTCGGACTGTTTGCGACGGTTCAAAGTGGAAATCCGCTGCCATCGAAGTCCTGTAGGATGGAGGCTCCGTCCTGGATTGTTCCAGGTGTTTCGTTTCCTCCTGAAGGCATCGTACCTCCGTATCCAAGTCGTCGGTATACGTGGTCATCTCGTCAATATATCGATTTAAGTCATCGATATATTTATCCGCGTCAGACCGTAGTTGTACAGGTCGTTTTCGCGGACTTCCAAGTGTGCGATGCGATTCTGTTGCGCTTCGTACACCTTCTGGGCTTCTGCCAGGCTGTGTTCCAGCTGTGCTCGGAGTCTTTGTTCTTCCTTCAGCACATCATTTAGTCCGTAGACCTGGTCGGCCAATTGGGCGTTTGCTTGTTCCAGGTCGGTGGTAGCTCTACTTCGGTCGGGTGAGGCAGGTTGCTGGCCGTAGTGAGCCATTAGCTGTCGTCCTGCCCTGACCAGGAGAGTTTCCATCTCCCTTTCGAGTTGTTCGATTCGATATTTCTGCCGGTCGACCTCGTCGTCGGCATGCTTGAGTTCGACAATGTATCTGTCGACCTCGTTCCGGTACACTTCGGCCTCTTCATTGGCCTGCTTCAGCTGTTGGTGGAACGTCCCTGCTGCCAGTTCCGATTCGACCAAGGCTGTTTGTGTGTCAGCCAGGTCTTTTTCTGCGGTGGCGAGCCGTCTTTTCAGTTCGAAGACTGATTCCACCGACGTCGCAAGTGTACTTCTGAGTCGCTCGACCTCTTCAGGGTCGTACCGACATGGGTTGTCGGACCTCTTGAGGTGACTTTCCAGATGTTCTATCCGGCGCTGTTGAGCGGCTATGCCATTGTTGGCTTCAGCGAGTTCTTTTTCCCATCGCTTCCGTTCGAGCTTATGAGTGTCCTCCGATCGCGACATCTGGTTTTCCGTGGAGTTAACGATTTGGTCGGCCAGGACGATTTGTGTTATCAAATCCTGGCATCGTTTCCTGAGTCGGTCGATGTCTTCGATCTTTTCTGGAGGTGTGGATGCAATCCACTTCCGTGCCGTGTACTCGAGCGTGCTTGCTTGGTACCTATGGTTACCCAAGTAGGGTGCCACCGGCGTTCGGAAGAATCCATCCTTGCTACTGGGACGTGACATTACTGTTGTGTCAAAAACGTCGTCCATGGGTGGTGGCGTTTCGCTACCCGAGTCGCCAAGTTCGAACATTGGTGGCGACTGCTTCTTCAGTAAGTCGACAGGTCGACTTGTTGACGACTGTCCGACTTCACCTTCGGTTGAGCTTCTGTTACTCAGGTCGACCTGCCTTCTGTTGGCGAAGGTCGACTCAGCGGTGAATAGCCTTTTCGTTAGGCATCGGTATGTTGGTTGGTGATCCAGCCGGGTGAGGTTTGCTTCGTGGCGGGGCCTCAGTTTCTCCCGTTTTGGCCGGTAGTTTAGGCCACTGGATGTCCGTATCCGACCTTGTATCGACTGGCTTCTTTTCCAGGGAGGTCGGTTGTACTTGACCGACTTGCTGTTGTCCGACCTTTAAGGTCGGTGGAAGTTGCCCGACCTCAGTTCCGACTTGTGTTGTCGAACGAGGTCCGACCTCCATGGTCTGCCTTTGTTGACCAACCTTGGTCGGTGGAAGTAGTCCGACCTCAGTTCCGACTTGTGTTGTCGGGTGAGGTCCGACCTCAGTAGGCGGCTTCTGTTGACCAACCTCCTTGGTCGGTGGACTTCCATCCTTCTTGGTCGGCGAAATCCTCCCGACTTCTGTTGTCGGTTGGATTTGGCCAACTTCCTTGGTTGGTGATTGCTGTAGTCTTCCGACCTCAATTGCGACTTGTGTTGTCAGATGAGGTCCGACCTCCGGTTGAGAATAACCGACCTCCGAGGTCGGTTTCCGTTGACCATCCTTAGAGGTTGGTGAAGCCCTACCGACTTCTGTGGTCGGTTGGACTTGACCGATTTCCGTTATCGGTTGCTTCTCTCCGACCTTCGAGGTCGGTGAAGTCGCTCTGCCCGAGTTGGGCGATGTCGACCTCTTCACGTCGTCCGTCTGGTTGGGTGATGTGTATCCGGCGTCGGTGACTTTCGTAGTCGTTACCGGCTCCTGAGCTTTCTGTGAGCTCAGTTGAAGTCCTTCTGTTAAGTCCGTAGAGGTCGGTACACCATGTGGGTGTTCCGCCTCGGCATGAGACAATGTGGTCTCAGCCTGCAGCTTCTCCGGTTCCCCGGTCGGGTGGGACGGGGCTGCTAAGTCAGCTTTGGGCTCGAGGAACGTCTTATCGTGGGCGTCCTCGAAGCTGTCATCAGATGTCGGGTTGGAATCGGCGAGGAGGATCCGCTCGTTACGCTTCTCCCGTGCCTCGACCGATTTCGTCGAGTCCGTTGATGACGGCTGACTTCCATCCCGACCAGCATGCCGCAGTGAGTACGGTGCGTTTGAGGTCAGGCGCCGCGAATAGTCCGTGTTGAACTCTCGGGCGTATTCATTCTTCTTCGGGTTCGACATTGTTGTCGGGTCAGGTCGGTTCAAGTGGAACCAACGAGAGACTTGTACTGTTGTACAGTAAATTGAACTATCCCTTATGTGGGGATGTTCAATTGAATCAGGAACGTCTTTCGGTTCAGGAACTTCCGTGGGTCAGGATGGTCCGACTTGATGTTATTGTTGTTGTGTTGGTGTGTCTGTGTGTGACTCAGTACACAACGTTACAATACAGTACTATGGTACAGTACAGTATGATAAGGTACTACAGTAGAGTACGTCCTATACTACTGTGCTGACCAGTATGACGTCACAGGGCTAAGTGGTCTTGCACTTCACTGCCTACGTCACAGAATGCGAGCCGCGTGCAAAATTTAAAAAACGATGATTCACGCCTATGTTAAGCTTATGGGAAGTTTCCCCTGCACGCTGATTGGCTAGCCTCAAAGTACTGAAAATCGAGCGTTCTGACGTCACAAGGAAATTCAAGAATTTTCGCGCTTATTTTCGCGGAAAAACAAAATTATTTTTTAGGTCGATCAGAGATGTTTTCTGGTCGAAATTTTAATTTTTAAGCCGTTAGAAATAATTTCTAGATTCTCAGAAATTTTTCTGACGGTGGAAAATCCGTCAAAATGAAAAGCAAAGTGAATGACCGACCTCTGGTCAGTTACACAGAGTGGTCCGTTAGGTCGGTAAAGTAACTTTTTAGGTCGGTTTCTCCGACGAAAATTAAGTTTTTACCATCGAAAAATTATTTCTAGTTCTCAGAAATAAATTTCAGCCGTTAAGAATTAAGAATTATAGCTAGATTCGACCTGTGTCGACCTGTAACCAGGACTTTACCGGTTCGTTACGGTGTCCGTGGAGGTCGGTGATCCGCCGTTGAGAAGGTCGCAATCCGTTAGAGTTGCGGGTCGCCGTTCAAGGCGAAGGTCCCCGATTGTTGAGAGGCTCCTTCTGGGCGCTGCAGGTTCTCTTCTGAGCCTGATCCGTCAGTAGGGATTGGGGAAGTTCCCGTTCGTCCGTCTGGGGCAGTCAGCCGAAGTGCTCTCCTTGTGTGGAAGAGCCAAAAGATAGGGCAAGCGAAGGTGGCAGGGATCGCTTTTGCGATCAACCTGTTGCTACCACAGTCGCTAGACAGCAAAGACCAGGTTGTAGCAGAGGCTGCGTTCGCAGTCAATCTGTTTTCAACCACGGGTTCTTCGAGTTCTCCGCAAATTGTGCCTTTACCGTCTCCTCAAAGGATCCGGTAGAACGAAAAAACCAGACGATCTGCTTACCATGTGACAGGCAAGCACAGAGAGCTCACAGGTGACTTTATTGTACAAATAAAGTGGAGCAAATGCCGCGTGAATGCGGGGAAAAACACAACAAAGGCCAATGTCTGGCAGGAAAGTGAGCAGTCAAGTTGCTGCGAGCTAGTTCCAGAGCGTAATGAAATGTAGAGAAAGAAATGTGCTGGCGGCAACGGCGTCACGCTGTCCAGACACACGGAATGTGAGTGCGCAGACTGGACTCGTATCCAACGCGAGCGAATATACGCTGAGTCATACAGCGAGAGAGAGGAGCGAGAGAGCAAGTATGCTCAGTGAGTGCGCCCGCGGTGTATCCGCATAGGCGGAGAGTGCAGTGCAGCCACTCACGTACGTACAAGAGAGGGCGAATCAGCATGTGTGCAGTGATACGCATACGCAAAGTGGCGTATCTATCACGCAGGCTGTCGTGCCTCTAACATAAAGTTATTTAATAAAATTGTTGAAGTATATTGACGACGTACAACAGAATTCCGTAGAGAGTATTAAAGTTACACCTGCACAGCACTTCCGTCGATATTAATTAGGCTGAATCAATAATTATTACTTGATGTTCTCTTTTGAATTCGAATTTATAAAGTTTTACGCGAGAGCACTGGACCCGTCGGTGTACAACTCAAGACCAAATGGACGGATTTTTTTAGCAGTACCAGTCCGGACATACCGCTTACTGTTTTGGCATATAAAGCCAGAAGGCAAGATATCAGAGACAAGCGGTTGTCCAGATAAAATTTCCGCAGCAAACAACAAAATCAAAGACACTGTCGTAGAATTCCCTGTATCTGTACATACGTACTGTGTGTGTGGAACTACAGAGAACGCTACGCAGTCAGTGTAACCTTTCTGTACTTGCAGCATTTATGGGGTTGAAATTTGAAAGTAATCACTAGCGATATTGCGCGTTGTCCCACTGCTAGCAACTCAGAAAACCCGCTCATTGTCTCATAAGGCGGCAATCAGTGTAATATTAGCGTAAATTATGTTCTTATATCACCAGTAAAATAAAATAGCAACCTGAAAACTTAAAAACACTGCTACCTTAGTTAACACTTGCAAGCCGGAATCAAAAATGTCAATTTCTTTGTCTTCTTTTAAATATGGTTCTTGACATAATTAATCTATGACATAATAAATCAGCGCACCTATTATTTGTCAAAAACGTAGTAATGGTAATGGATGCATTTTGAGTGTCAAAGCAAAAAATAAGAACGATATTCTCAAAACACGCAGCTGCAAGAAAAGCAAAAAATCGGGTGGTTACGACTTTGCGTCCACTTAATATAATATTACGATGTGTACGCCATATAGAATATCAGAAGATACCGTTCCTGGGAAGTCTTGTGCCGCAGTATAATTTTTGGTAATCGTGTCACTGCCGACTACTGAAACGTACAAATAAAAATGTTTGACGATCTGTACACAAGCCACGTTTTGCTTGCATCGTGATCGAATTTTTTATTCGCACAGTTAAAGTTTTCATGTGCATGGAATGTGCGCAGTTAACCGAATGGTCAAAATCGCAGTGTCGTTCGGAATGAGATTGACGAGCTGGAATGGATATGATAGTTTCGAATCGGCTACATTGGACGTATAATATTGTTGTGAAATGTGCTCATGGTTGGATATACAAAAGAAAATTTTAATGAACGGCGACTTGGATTCCAATTCGTTTTCGGCGGTAGAGAGTACGAGTACAACTGTGCAACACCGATAATCAGAACTGTTAGAAAGTGTATGACCTTTCAAACCTGCAGTAGAAATTTATGGAAAATGACATTATTTTGAGAGTGCAGTAAGTGATACATTTACGTACTTGTGACAGGGTGATTGTGGTTCTGCCAACTACAGTAATACTATCGTAGTTGGCAAAAGGCGTAGGTAGTGTAAGGTCGACGACAATTCACAGCGAAAAATTTGCATTATGGTTGCAAACAATTTTTTCAAATATTGCGGGATTATAACGTTTATGTATCGCATTAATAAGTTCAAGCAATTTAGGCTGTTATGATCGTTACCTACCAAAGTATGATTGAGAAATGAGTGAATGGTTTAGGGAACAACAACGCCGAGAACCTTTCCATTCAGTTCTTTCCAGGTATTTAATGGCTCCCATTATGTTGAACTTGCATTTATTTTCAGTTAAAACGCTCACCGACAAACACAGTAAGACTCCTCTCGGGACAAATAAACAGAATGCATACAGTTCTTACATTTTGCTCTATATATTAGATACAACCGGAATTTGTTCTATGCGTACCAAACGAATAACGCAGTGTCAAAACCGAAACACTGAACAAAGAAAACGAAAATAAATATGATGACAAATATCGTGCTGGAAATCCTAAACCGACTGGGAGAAGTCCAGATGCGGTGGCTGAGGCGACGGCGGATTACCAGCCCGTGCTTCGCGTAAAGTCATTCCTTCTCGCAAACTACAAAAATACAGAAATGTAGTGTACGTGATACATATTATGACTGCAGCAATTTTCTTTAGCAGATGTCACAGATGGTTCATTGTACGAAATGCAACCAAAATTATAGCCAGCGCAGGTAAGTATGTACATACTGCCTACAAATGACTCAAAACTGTATGAGCACAAGGACAACCGGTCATCGTCTAAATTTGCCAGAGACTTACTTGGGTAAGTTATCCCACCCCGTCACCGTGCGTTTCTTGAAGTCGACTAATTCCGCAATTCCTTTAAAGGCAAGCTGAAAACACGAAAACACACTTCAGGGGTGATTTAAATTAAATTTTTCTTACGGTAAATAACAACGCAGAACGATAAAGAGCAGCTACAGGAAAGCACAGGAATCCACAGTATCAGTACATGTACTCGTACAGTTTCTACGTACTTTCTCCTTGCGCTGCATACGGATGGTTACGAATTTTTTCGTAATAGTTCGATAATATTCTCCGTCGATTCGAGCAGGGAGCCGCTCCACCACTTTTTTAAAAGAACGAGGATTCATCTGATGCAGGCGACGTTGGTTTTTCACACCTCGCACCGGTGCAGGCATAACGATACTCGATCGAGGCGTACGGTACCACTTTCCCACCTCCGGAGTGCTCAGCGAGCTTTCCCCCGTTTCCACCTCTGCTTCATCACTGCTCCTGTCGGACTCCTCGAATGCGTCATCTGATTCGTCGTCTGGGGCTTCGACGTCGTGCTCTGCACTATTCGATGTCTCGCCATTCAGAGATGGTGCTGGCGAAATCGGTGCGCCGACCGGCAAGCCCACCACGTCCTGTCAAACAAACGTCATCACCACACAAACTGACCGAAAATACTGAGCCGACATCCGCTTTTACCTGCATCTCCTGCTGCTCGCCGCGATTCTCGGCGTTTCGGTCGCCGTGCGGAAGACGTTCTTGAAATTGCCGCGATTTTGATCGGAACAATCGAAAGCTGGCACCGACTACAAAATCGGCCTGTGATTCACAAAAAAATTAAGCCACAGCCACGGTCAGATCATTAAGAACACGTGTAATCTAACAAAGTTCGGTGTTCATAGTAGCTGTTGGTTATATCCTTGCTTACCCGTTTATCCGTTCGCAGAGCATAGAACATTAAGCCGTCAACGAGGTTTCCACATACAAACCCGCAGCAATGCAAATCCCTGGTGTCGCTCCATATATGAACTACCTCGGCTAACGGATGATCGTATCCAACCTACAGCGACACAAGGCGTAAATACTTATCATTAATATTAATTAGAAAATATAATTTTTATCAAAATCCGAAAATTTTGACCATCAGGAAATTTCTGCAAAAACTTTGTATCACTCGCAACTCGACGTACATAGATTCAGAATACGTAGATCTGAAACACCATTACCATACTTAGATTTACTTAACTTTACCACAAGTAGATTTTATTATATATTACTTTACTTTTGACTTTTCTCTCTATAGATTTACAATCAGAATTTGAAGCGCTTCACATTTCAAGCATCAAATCGTCTCCAATGCAAACAGAACCATTTCGAGTACTTGAAACAGCTTAAAATCAAAAGTAACGTTTATTTTCAGCAGTATTATTTATTGGTATTATGATAATTCATTGGCATAATTTAATTATTTGATAATTTATTGGCAACGAAACACCAGACAAAATAAGCAAACACGTACCGGTCCGAGATATTCTGAAATCTGGAGACCAGTGCGTGATACTTTGACAGAGATTCTCTGCTGATGATCTCCTGACCGAAGCAGCCGAGCTTTCTGCTTATCCAACCCTTCGTCCGTGAAATTCACGTCCGGTACCTTCACTACTCCAATTAAATGTCCACCGAAGACGGACTCGTTCAGCGCCGACACGGCTTCTGCAGTCGAAAAGAAACAGTGAAAATTTATTCAGTTCATTCGGTTTACGGATGTCACCATGAGCAGGCTGGCTGGCACCACCCCGGTGAGACAATTCACTCGGTTCCCGGCTGGGCGTCGGGAGGATACTGAACTCCGAGTCTTCCATTAGCGGTCGACGCTTTTGGCTAACCGCCGCGCCGCGAGGACGACCCGTGTCAATTCGGCTCGGCCCCGCGCGTGAGGTTTCGTCCCGGCCTGGTGTACTTTGGGTGGAAGATCCAGAATTCACGTCCAGCGTTACCACAACGGTTGGAGACGTCGGAGTGCGGTTTGTCCCTGGAGCCGGTTCGTCCATCTTTTCTTGTCCAATACCTACGTAATTAAAAACGTCAAGTTCAGCTGTTAGCTGATGAAACACTGCAAAGCGCTACCAGCCGCTAGAAAATTAGTTTTGAATTGCGAGAAAATTAACCCAACTTCCGGTTCGAACAGACAACACGGAATTCCATAATAACTTATACATCAGTAACTAATTGGTTATTATAGCGGGTGGCGCATAACTAATAACGCCAGTAAAAAGTCACGGCATTCATTTTGCTATAAAACAGGTTTTTTTGGCCTAGTACAAAGACGTATGCGGCCGCAAGCGGAGATAAACAATTCCAGAAATTCGCAGGCGAAATTTTATGACGGTTTTTATCACTTATCGGTGATACATATTTTCTAATGGTGCTCTTTATTTTTAATCTTATTCGAGGAACACCTGACATATTTCCGTCGTTTAGCCACTCAAAATTCAATAATAAAGAAGCACAATTAAGGCTGATTTTACAATTAAATTTTCAAACACGTAGCTATATCCTTAAAAAATTGACGAAAGTAGAATAATATTAACCAAAACTTCAGCCGTTCACTGTTGAAATGACTACGAAATAAAATCACAAAAAATTAAAATTATGGAAAGTACGAGAAAACGAATACACGGCACAAAATAAAATTATTCATCAGCTCCCTTAACATGGTTTTGAAAATGCGATGATATTCTAGATATTTGTACATTTGAAATCAGGAATGAACATCAAATCAAAATTAAAACAAAACTGCCTGAACTACAGTAGATACGGAACCGAGAACCCAAGTAGCCGGTGATCACGGAGAACATTGCGCCTTTACCGGCAATTTACCTGCTTCGGCTCCCCCATTCGAACCCTGGGAAGAATTGGCCGGCTCAGAAATTCTTTCGAATGAGTTATCCGGCTCCTCCGGATCGACCGCGCGTGAGATATCCGGGAGCGAGAGCTCGCTCCGCTCAGCGTCCGAGGTGCCGGCACCAGCTTCATCGCGGCTCTTCTCGGGGGCGACCGGGGCGTCCTTCGGTTTATTCCGTTCCATTACCTGCAGATAAGACTTCACGGTTTTAGCGCCAACTCATGTCATTTATTACCACAATTGCATTTGTGATCATATTTAGTATAATATTACATTTATTAATCTAATATTGTAATAGTATTGATGTTATTATACTTATTTATTACGGATATTATAACTGTATAATGGTATATGCTACTTTAACCACATAGTAGTTTAAATTTATTTTTTATACTGCGGCGGGAAGCTGCACAACGTTAAAGGAACAGATTGTAAAATTTTTATTGTATAATTTTTCAGAATTTAAATTCCCGGACTTGTGTAATTATTTTTCAGTACAATAACGGCAGTAGCATACCATCCACGCCTGCAACTCCGTCTTTGTGCCGGCCGGTTGGACGGTCCAGAATTGTTCCAGCAATTCGATAGCCACTTTCGGGTCCGCCAAGCCCCATAGATCGGCTGCCCAGTTCGGCTGAACGACACCCGGTGGCACGGCTGCCACCAGCCAATGGCAAAGCCGTCGCAGAGTGATCTCTGTCGGCTTTCGGATGCTCCTTCTAACATCAACAAACGGTGTCCACGCCTGGTTTTTCGGCCCCTTTACGCCGACGCCAGCGTGGTGGATGCACACGGTCTTTGTGGGATCGAATGGATTTTTGCTGTCCTGGGTGCCGAGTACGAAGATGTCGTTAGAAGCGCATTGCCTGCAGCTTGGTTTGTGGCAGTTATTAAGGATGGCCTCCAGGTAGCTGCAATTTTCCTTGGCTGCACCGCTGACACCGTCCCGTAAAATCCACACGGCAGTGTGTCCACTGCTTTCGCAGTGAGCCATGAAATGGCTGCAAAATTAATAAGTGTAAAGCGAATGGCGCGATACTTTTTTACCGTAACTCAGGCTAACCGGCGTTACGCTCGTAAAATTATCAAAAACTTCCGACTGCCTTTGCGCCGCACCGGAAAATTAAATTATTTAAGTTTAAAAAAAAGAGATTTTAAAGAAAACACGATGCTGAATAAAAAATAAGTACAAATAATGACATGAGTAATATAAAATAACGCAAATTATGAAAATTTAAATAAAAACAATTAGAATATTACATATGAATTTTAATGATAATGGAATTAATTTATGCCAACATGAACTGCAGCAGTACCTGTTTTTGTGCCCTTTATCCGTTCCATTGCAGAAAAATCTCCCGCAATTTGGAGCTGCGCAGTACGCTAGGTGCTTCTCGTCGTCCAGCCCGCAGTACCTGCAACAAAATTATACTTGTTGTAACCATTTTCAGCACGTATACCGTATTCTGTACACTAGAAAACATATATCTGTACCGCAAAGAAACGGGTGTCTCGCGTTCTGTTTTTTATTTTGTTATATATATTTCTTTATTTTTCAGATCCACATACCGACACTGCGGGGGACTTGCGGAAGCCTTCTTCAATCCTGCCATTGCGAAACCTGCCAAGCGCAATCACAAATACTCTCCGTACTGCATAATTTTATTAAAATTTCAACGTAATCCGAAAATTATGCCCTGTACAAAATACTGAATTTATTTGCCATTTTAAATATGACATTCTGCTATAATAATCATCAGCTATCGTAAAAACTATGTTGTATACGAATTATTTAATTAAATAAATAACACGTGCAACGTATTAAAGAAACAATTTAAAAGGACGCAGTATCACAAAAAGACGTATATTTGTAAATGGATGATTAAAATATACATGTAGTACGCTCGTACACAAGCAAAATCAAGGAAATCAGAATATACTTTTGCAGCCTCATGATTACAGCGCTCTTACTGTTAATAATTACTCAGAATTAAGTAAACCAAAATTAAAACGCTTAAACAAAATGTAAATGAAGGAAACAGAAACACAGGTGATTTAAACTTTACGATTGTAAAACATCGAATTAAAAAAATAAGGTGATTTGCTACCGAAATTCTACCAAAATACAACGTACGGTTAGAAAGAAACCTCGGACCTTGATCCACACGACGACGATAACAGTCCGACGAAAATGGCCCAGGCGAATTGCCGTTCCCTGTCCGTTAGTATGGAATGCAGACTGATGGTGGGAGTGAAGTTGACGTCGGCAGGCGCGACTTGCGGGATAATTTCACAATCCCGCAAATTATTCCAGAAAGGAATTACTGTAAAAGCAACGACAATCCTTGAGAACAACGGTAATAAAGAAATTTAGCGAACAAGACCGGGAGACTGGGTACAGAAACGGAATATTCAGTAAGTTATCGATGATGGTATGGCACGTACTACATGAAACTGATTTCGAAACTACCCAAATCCACAAAATAGCACACTGCAATTTTTAAAAAATGCAAAGTACATTCTGGCGAAAATGCGTGATAATGGCAACACACCACAAAAGTCGCCGGTGTACCGACCACGTTGATCAATCCGGGTGTGATGCATCGCTGGCTTTACGCTGAATACCGGTAACTGGTAAGTGAACGGTTGGGCGTTGGCTTCCTAATGAATGGCGCTTGCGGATACGTCCGCATTCGATAGCCATCCATCGGAAAGCAAATGTGCTGTTCCACTTAATTTGGTCGTTCACGTTTGACAGGGCGTTGGAACGCACCTTCGTATTGTTTGAAAATTTCTTGTATTCGCAAAAAGTAGATTTGTACTGAATTATGCTTGCCTCAGTGAACAGAAATTCGCTGAGCACATCACAAACGGCCTGCAAGTAAATTCATTTTTTCCTTACTTTTGTAATCGTCAAAACGTAAATAAATAAGTGATGCTGTTAAATGGACGTGCGTATTTAGCTGAACAGTGAAAACAACAACATAACAGCAAAATTACTAGTGCCACCGTTACTAGTGCTAGTGCTAGCTTTGTGAGTAAATGCCGCCTCGACGCGCATCTCAGAATTCAGAATGATACCAATCTTTTATTCGGAAACCGTACAAAGATACTCTACTCTGCTCAATAATGTACAGAGTTTGTGCACACAGCGTACGTCGGAAAGGACTACAAAATTTCTCCCATCCAATACAAAGGGGAAATTTAATTCTAATAATTTTTTCAAACAAAAGATACACGGGCCATCCTTCATTCCAAAAATACCCAAAAAAGAGTTACGCGAGAATCATAAAACTACGCCACGATAACCAGGTGAGAACGGGGTAACGGTGGACAGGCGGCCGGAGTGAAGTCTGTCTGGTTGAAGGCGGGCATGTTGAGCATCTTCGGCAGCGTCTCCACTTCGTTCGGATCGAACTCGTCCTTCACCAGCTTCTCGGGCTCACCAGTGCAAAAACAATAATTAACAAATCATTAATGATTAAAAGAATAACAATTAAATAAGTAACAATCATCAACAACGGGAAAAGCCGATAAAGAATATTAGAATTAATGAAATAATCAAAACCCGAAGAAAAACGAATTTATAAATAAAGAACGGGGGTTGAAATGATTACGATTTTCAACATTATTTAAATAGTAACCATGTCCTTCGTATCTAATCTACAAGCAGAAAATACGGGCAAATTAGCAAGTTTTTCCAGAAAAAAAAACCATCTGGCAAAAACAGCTACAAAATAAATAGAAAGAAATTCAATACTGCAGTAGAAATAAATAAAATAAAAAAAACGGCCGAAGAAATACACTCGTACTCGAGGTTTTCTACATCGAAGCATAGCACGTCGCATAAAGAGCGAAATTAGTTTCAGCGGAATTTAAAAAAAATGAATTGCACAAACAGAGATCATATGACTTAAATATGCAAAAATTAGTAGAATCGCGTGTACAAAAACTGCACAAACCTAATTTGATGGACAGGATCAGATCGCGCAGTTTGCCCAGACGTCCGAGGAAGGTATGCGTTGGCGGGGACTCATCACGGCCGAACACGGCAGTGCATCGAATTTCTGGTCGCCTGACTGCTCGGCCAGCACTCGCACAGACTCCTGCGCGTCCTCCTGGATCAAGGACGTGTTCCCAGTTTGCCCACAATGCCTAGAAAATTGTAAATTTCATTTTCTAGAGCAAGACAAACACATAAAATGGGCAAAAATTTTAGAAATCACACTGTCTGACAATCATATTGGAAATCTTACTGTAAACTATACAGATCATCTGGAAATCATCCTGTCAGTATTGGAATAACAGCCGTGGCACGCCGGCATTACCTGTTTCGGTTTTGCTTCGCATGCGCATGCGAAATGATCCCGATGAGTCCTTCGTCCGGTAAAAGGCCACGTTGTGATCACCAAAAAGGGTTGCGAAGCATCCGATGTGGTGCTGTCGGTGCTGCTGCAAGCGGACATTTTATAATCGCTGTCTATTTAAATCTTAGAAGTATCGACGTTAATACCAGAATTTGTGTTTGCTTTCCGCACTGCCAACCGGTAGCAGTCTGATGTCGTCGCCGAGTAAACGTTCGAGGAATAACCACCGTCTCTTCCTGGTCCGCATCCACTAGGATGAACGCTGGCTTACCACCCGGTCCAGACACGGCCTGCTTGGAACGGGGCGCGGGCGCGGGCGATGGTGGACCGGTTACTTCAACTTTGGAGCGATTGGTCAGAAAGGACCACATCAGGCTGATGGACGGCCGGCGGGATGCCGCTTCCGGCGCGTTTAGCAGCGGCGACTGGGTGAGATGCGCAGTGGATGGTCAGCATGACGGGGAGCGCATCTCAGTGGCCGTGGTCACCGTGGGCAAGGGCTTGATCTCACCGGGACCTTACTCGTTTGTTAAGGCGGGTGCTTGGAAGAGTGACGAGACACAACTATCTGCAATAACATGCAGATATTCGGTTTGAATTTGAACGCTCAGCATACTTCTAATTTCTAAATTTAAAAAATGTATGCATTTTGAAAGTAAGTGCTTTGTACTATTTGAAATTTTAACAGCAATTCCAACAGTTGTAATTTTATTGTGAACCGCAGATTTGAAATTTGTTTTGAAAATTTAGGAGTGTTTTAATTTTTTGTAAACAAAAAAGTCAGTGTCTATAGAAGCCGTAAATTTTTAATTTTAATATACCAGTTTTTGTATACACAAGCATATTACACCCGAAAAAAGAAAATGGGACGCTGGAGAATACCTGGAATGTACTGAGAATTTCCGCGACCGAATAGTTCTCAGCAGTCAGTACAAATCACTGCACCGTTAACTAATAAAATCGTTCTGGTGATCGGCGCGCGATCTTCGGCTATGGATGCTGCCTGCAGACTGATTCCGTATGCCAAACAGCTGTGTTGTGTGGGATGTCGTTTCACTCTGTATCTGACAAGAAATTGTAAAATCACGATTGCATTTAAATTTCACCTTTAAGAATGGGCAGAACAAACAAAAATTTTCCAATTTACCAATTTTTAAAATACGAAGCGTTCCGTATGCGGGCGGACTAATTCTATTCCGAAATGCTTTCTTCACTGAATTCCAACATAGCTGCACAGCGGCGAATTACCAAATTTTTCAAACTAGACAGGAAGCTTTTATCCAGATCCGTTTTGCATAGAAAACTGTCAACCGTTCATCTGCTTTTTCGTAACAAAACATTCAATGCGCAAGACCACTTTCCGTAAAATTCTGTAACTGTTAATTTGTCCTGATTTTCAAACACACCTGTACGGATTTTCTCGAAGGTTTCCGCCACGATAATACACTGGCAAACCGGGCGCGTGCTCTTGGATTTGAGCTGGCGGAGAACTGCCAAAATGCGGGCGGCCGTTTTTACGGATTTGGCCGGACGTTGCGTCAACACCGCGGTTGACCTACGCCAGAGTAAAAACATCACCACCAGGCTTGTACAAGTGAATTCTGTTGATTAATAATTTCATTTTAGTATTCAAATTAATTCTATGAAACAGGATTTATTTTTACAGAATATTCTGTTTGTTTTAATCGAAGTAACTACCTCATTCAGTAATACGAGATCAGATTTGTCAGTTCAACCAAGTTTTCTGTCAAGTTTTAACTGAAAGGTCGAAATATCAACCCCAACCTGTTTATTCCGATCGGCGAAGGAAACAATGTGCGCTTCCCCGCGAAAATCCACAAATGGCAATGAATTTACCGCACAGTTCCTGTCGACAGAGTACGCGCCAATGTGCAACCGTAACATGATGATCAAGGAGCGCGCAACCTGCGTACATGGGACTGGATAGCGGTGAGCAGGGCGCCGTCGTGGGCAGCGAGGGGGAGGCCATCGGCAGCCAAACTGGCTCCCGATCACACGGTTACGGCCAGGTGGACAAGAGGGTGGATAGCTGCGCAGGGATCATAAGGCGGAAGGTTCGCTCGATTTCCATTGGCCATTTCGCAAGATCATATCAACGCTGCGAAATCCAGCGATCGCTGGTACATGATGAAACGGTCAATTCGCAGGGCAGCGTCGTGCAGAATCTTCTTGATCGTGCAAAACCCAGCGCTCTAACCATCAAATTCTGGGTAACTCGGCTCAGA